AAATAAGTCTACTACATGCAAAATTAGTCTACCAGACTACCACATACAAAATAAGTCTACTACAAAATAAGTCTACACACTAAAAATATGTTAATAGGTTTTTATGAGATTATTCACATAAATTTATTGTTTGATAATTTAACTNTATAATATTTTAATTGTTANNAGATTTTATCATATAGTTAATATAAATTCATAATGTGTAAGAATATGTGTTTTTGTTATTAAGAATATGATTAAATTTCATTTATGTATATATATTTTTGGCATGCATAATATGAATTAAGACATAAGAATTAAGATATAAATTAAATTTTAATGGTTTGAGATATAAGTTTATATATTTCAAAATATTTTGTAATTAAATGAGTTACTAACTAAAACTTAAATTTTGATATTAAAATTTTTTAATGTGTATATCAGCATTAAAACGCGGATTCTATTCTAGTACTATATAACATTTCATCATTTCTTTCCTTGACTCAAATACAAAGATGTCCCCAAAATTAGTCGCAGATATTATACAAACAAAATATCTCCCTCAAAGCATTTAAGAGGGTTTAAAACAAGAAGCCTAAACTTAAGACATAAGATCTTATCTAAGTACACAATGCTGCTGATTCACACAAAAAGTGTCAGCAAAATGGCAATGAAAGGAGTAAGGAGTGTGAATCACATGATAACTTCTCTACACATAAATATATACACTTGAATCTTTGATCGAAGAGGGTGAGTCAAGTTAGATGTTAAACATCATATACGGGGAGCCGCTCTTCGATGGTTATACGGCAGAAGGGACATTTTTTACACTTGTCTGAGCAGTCTCTGCAGTAAAACATCAAAGCAGATATGATCAGAGAGCTGTCATTAATTATTGCATAGTCTGCAATTGCTTGGATACTGCCAAATGCTGATACTTTAAGTTCAGTTTCTTCCTGGAGAAGAAGGCATATAAATACCTGCAGAGAACACGGTGTCTACATGGAAGCAATACCACACTGATTTCTCTTTCGAAACAAACCCTACACAGCACTTTCTCCTGGAACACAGAGAACAATGAAATATGACCAAACGAGAAACCCGCTTTAGAGTGTGTTGTCAGAGGAAGAGGGGAGAGCCTTACGTTTTGCAGTCTCTCATATTCCTGCTGGCTGAATTTCGTGATTTCTGTTTGTTCACCAAGTGCTGCTTGAAGCCTCCACACCTGACGCGTAATTAGATCCAACTTAGAACAGCACTGAGATATAAATGAAAGCAGAGGAAAACTAAAGTAGAAATACCTCCTCAGCAAGATCTTTCTTAGGCATTTTCTTGACTATTTCAGGCGGATGACCACAGAAGGTATTGTAACTGCACCGAATATTTTCATGATATCTTCAGCAGGTGAGACCACCATTTTCGTTGAATGATGTAAAAAGGTCAAATTGTACTAACCCAGACTCTTTATCAAAGTATAGTCGAGCTTGCTCCTCTCGGCTTCCTTCATCAATTGACCACCAACCTAGTAGCCTGAATGAGCATGTAGCTGATCAAATGTTAGGCATCAACTTAATGTTTGTTACTAATTCAGTGGCAGCAAAAAAAACAACATATTTGGTGGGTAGCCTCAGCCTGCATAACCGTTGTGCATTAAGCTGATAAGGAAGTAATAAACATGTTTATCACCTGGATCCATGGTGCCAGAAACCCAAGCAATCATGGGCTCTTGATGAAAATCTAAAATACAACCCTGTATCATCTTCGCCGCGCAGCAATAGAACAACCTTCTCTATTAATTTTGAAGCAGCAAATAGAACACCAATGCCTTGCAGTATGAAAAGTGGAGAAAACAGCACTGGGACAGGTATATACTTAGCACTTTCAGGAGTCCCCTGAAATTTCAAAACACGAGTTTGCTTTTTGGTAATGTCCAAATACAACAATTGTAAGATAGTGAGAAATCTTTGTGTACCTCAAGATGCATGCAAAGCACCACTTGAAACACAATGAGGGGAATTTTCATAATATGACCACCAATGTCTTGCAGGCTACAAGGATCTTGGTGCCTATCATCTTCTGAAAAACCCACAAGGCCACTGTTCCAGTCAAAATATCTAGTCGTGGTAGAAGATGACCCGGGTTCTCTGACACGTGTGCTTCTATGAATTACTGGATTGGACCATTTTGTACAAACAAGAAAAGCAAAGCACTCTGCAATTCTGCAGGCAAAACGTACACAGTGATTACATTCATGATCAATTCTACCAATAGCATTAGGGGAAATACATCTTTAACATAAAAGAAGTTAAAGACAATGCATACCCGAAATTGATGAATAAATCCCACCAGCCAAGAGCAGCTACATCGCCTGATTTGAATAAAATAAGAAAGACGTAAGATTGAATAAAAACACAATACAAGAGGGAGTTCCACGCAAAGGACATTTAGCAGATTAAGAAATGGATAAAAAGACAGTCGCATTTCCAGCTCTAATTATTAACTTGACTCGTTTCACCAATTACGAAACTCATTTTTCTGTACATCCCAATTATACAAACATTTAGAATGACTCATTCTAAAGATTTCAAGATTTCCTTTCTGGAGAATTTGTATTTTAAATGGAAACTAAACAGAAAACAGTCTTGCTATAAACAGGATTGAGAATTCCATGAAGTAAAATGCCCGTGGTCGTCTTTAGATTAATTAAGATATATGAAATATTAGCAACTATATCAGCGGCAAATTATTACCAGACAGCTTTAGAAGGGTAAAGACTGTAGCAGCCAGAAAGAACACCATGGAAATCGCAACCCAGAAATGCTGCAGACAGAAACTAAAAAGAGTGTGAGAAAAGTTTATTTTGAATATGAAGTAGACCCACCAACAAAAGAATTGGAAATTCTTCAAGCTTGACTTTGTGTAAGCTAATGTTACAGAAATTGACGACAAGGAGAACTTCTCTCGATATGAAAATAGGGGTATATATGACTGATAGCTCACATGTCGAAATTAAATGCAACTTAAGCAAGTAAAGAAAGAGGAGTCCTAGTCGTAAATCAACAAATGTAGCATTACTTACAGGAAGTGCTTCCCATATTGCTTCATCATTTACGCTCTCTTCATCTCCAGGCATCAGTGCACGACACATTCTGAAGAGAAAATGTGACGTAATTAGGAACCGCATATAGAAGAGCAGAGAAATAGCTCTTCCAGCTAAGGTATTATTTACTATAACGGTCTACTTCCAGTAATTAATCCACATCACTGGTACTAGCTTCATACGCACGAAAAAATCTCAGTAGCATCACTTCTCGATGAAGAGTTGTATTACAATGCAATCACACATTGTCTATCTCATCTCAATACCTGGCATTGTCCACTAGTATAATCACTTCAAACGCCAATAAAGGGAGAAAAACAATCTTCAAGCTCACAGCTGGTGGCCAAGGAGCTGCATCTCAAATACAATAGAACAAAATTATATTAAACCGGGAGGCATCAAAGTAGGGCTTCATACAGCAAAATAACACTGCACAAGCTTAAAAGTTCTTTGTGATGTTATCCAACTTAACCATTAATATTATCGAAAAAACAAAGCATTGAGAGTCATAGTGAATCATTTGCTTCACCATATGATCAACTATTTTCCTTGTCAAGATACTAAATTACAAGAGGCTTTAAATATCATATCACGACATCAGCAGATCCCATGAAGTATTAAAGTGTGAGTAAGCAGCGGTTATATACCATAGGCAGTCTCGAGGTATACACAGAGGAGCAACTCGAAAGCTACAAGCAACGGTGTTGCGACAACAGCATGACATGGAGCCCACTGTACATCAAAAAACAATTATTACAAGCCAAAATGTCATCTAAAGGTTAATTCTGATATCTGTTATTATTAGCTATATCGATTAACTGGAAATCATAACACTAGCTGTGAATACAATTGTGCTAATAGAAGTAAGGGACATACATGACGGTTATGAGGAGCGATTGGAGCAGGAAGCGAGAATCTTCCCCTTGCAACAACAGCATGGAAAGCCCACAGAGGTAGACACACAACCCTGCATGACCGAGCAGCAGAAAATATTATTTTTTTAAACGATTGCAGATAAACATGAATGCTACCAATACCAAAATATGGATAACCAAGC